GGTGGATTTCTTAGTAAGTATATAATTTACTTTGATTTTTTTTTTAAGAATATTTTAACTATGTTCATGGGAGATACTGTTTAAGTATTTCTTTCTTTTTCTTTTAACTTTTTTGGGAGTTGGTATCAGAGTTATATTTGCTTTGTAAAATTACTGGTAAAGAAGCCACTTATTTTTCTTGCTTTTATATATATTTTATAGCTTAGACTCAGATTTTTAAAAAAGATACTCACTAATACACCTGCTGGTTATTGAGCCTTTAATAGAGATTTTATTTTGAATAATATTTTGAGTTTCTTGCAAAAACATTCATATATTTATCAGATTTACCATTTTTAAGTTAATATAAGATTCATACACCCAGTACATGATCATCTAAATGAAACAAGTAACTGTGTTTAAAACAATTTCTACATTTCCTATATTTGATTTCCACTCAAATTTTTAATTTTTAAAAATTTTTATTATAATTTTGTATATTTTTGTACATTTTGTCACATTTTTATATATTATAGGTTAGTTGGTAAAGAATGAACTCACATCTTTATCAGTTCTCCTTTATTTGTTTATAATTCATTGCCTTTTATTTAACATTTAATTTAGTATTCCTTATAATTGACTTATATATATTTTGTTTTACTATTTTAAATTTTTGAGTTAAATACTTATTTAAAAAAATTAATACAAATGAGAATATTTATAGCTATGCCTTTTTTTGTAAAGATTTTATTTATTTATTTGACAGGGAGAGAGGGAATACAAGCAGGAGGAGTGGGAGAGGGAGAAGCAGGCTTCCCGCTGAGCAAGGAGCCTGATGCGGGGCTTGATCCCAGGACCCTGGGAACATGACCTGAGCCGAAGGCAGACGCTTAACAACTGAGCCACCCAGGCACCCCAAATATGGCTATGCATTTTGAATGAAATATGGGATTATCTCCCTAGTAATTGGCTGGGTTTCTTTCTTTTAACAAAGGACTAATCTCAACATACCTATTTTTATTTTTATTTTTTTATGATTATCTCATTTATTTTTTTATTATTATGTTAATCACCCTACATTACATCATTAATTTTTGATGTAGTGTTCCATGATTCATTGTTTGCCCATAACACCCAGTGCTCCATGCAGAACGTGCCCTCTTTAATACCCATCACCAGGCCAACCCATCCCCCCACCCCCAGAACCCTCAGTTTGTTTCTCAAAGTCCATAGTCTCTCATGGTTCATCTCCCCCTCCGATTTCCCCCCCTTCATTCTTCCTCTCATGCCATCTTCTTCTTTTTTTTTTTTAACATATAATGTATTACTTGTTTCAGAGGTACAGGTCTGTGATTCAACAGTCTTACACAGTTCACAGCGCTCACCATAGCACATACCGTTCACAATGTCTATCACCCAGCCACCCCATCCCTCCCACCCCCCACCACTCCAGCAACCCTCAGTTTGTTTCCTGAGATTAAGAATTCCTCATATCAGTGAGGTCATATGATACATGTCTTTGATTGACTTATTTTGCTCAGCATAATGCCCTCCAGTTCCATCCACGTCGTTGCAAATGGCAAGATTTCATTCCTTTTGATGGCTGCATAATATTCCATTGTGTGTGTGTGTGTGTGTGTGTGTGTGTGTGTGTGTGTGTGTGTGTATATATATATATATATATACACACACCACATCTTTTTTAAAAATATGGAGCGCTTCACGAATTTGTGTGTCATCCTTGCGCAGGGGCCATGCTAATCTTCTCTGTATCGTTCCAATTTTAGTATATGTGCTGCCGAAGTGAGCACTCAACATACGTATTTTTAAATATTATATGAGTGGTGGTGGTGGTTGTCTTGTTTCAACTTGCCCTTAATTTTTAGTTTTTTTGAGTTTTATGTAGGTAATTTTTAAAAATATATTGCAACTTCCTTTATAATCTTAAATATAATCTCGTTTTCATTTTTAAGAGAGACTTGAAAGAAAAATATTTTTTGTGGTACACAAACTTTTATATATATGTGTTAAAAATATATATTATAATGCTAAAATTATATCCTTTTAACTTTTATCTATTTAATCAGTCATAACTGAGAACTACTAATTCTACCACAATTAAATCTCTTCTAATTATAACTAATTATGTATTCATGTATCTTGAATACATTTTGCTTTATAAATATTTCATATGCAACTTACTGATTAAAGATTATTGCTGCTATATATTCATTGACTATTTTGCCTAATACCATTAAATACTTTTATTATTTTCCGTGTAAAATCTTTCCCCTTAAATTCTACTTTGCCTGAAATCAATGTTACTACTCAAAATTTTTTATTTTTATTTTCCATATTAATCTATATATTAATCTAGGTATTTTATATTGTTAAACTTCCAGGAAAAATTTTTACATTTCCCGGAAATAAAATAGTTTTATTTATTTATTTATATTCTATATATAATATATAGAATAAATATATAATATATATTTATATTATTTATTCATTTATTTATTTTTATAAATTCAATCTGACAGTCTGTTTTCAATAAGAAGTAGTAGAATTTATGTCTGTTTGCCATACCTGATTTTTTGTATTTTCTTCTCTGAACTCATTTATGCTTTGTAAATAGCATTCTGTGTGTTTGTTTCCTCCTTCTTGGAATATGTTTTTGACTTTATATTTTTTAATGTTAAAAACTTACAGATGTAACCCTTATTACCATTTAATATTAGTCATTCAGCATTCAACACATATTTATAGCTGTTTATAGGTAGGTTTTTATGTATCGGTGAATAAAACATACAAATATCTCTCTGTAATAGAGGTCATCACAAAATAAACAAGTTAATTACTTGTTCTGTTTTAAAGTGTTACTACAAAAAAAAAATAAATCAAGAAAGGAGTGTAGAGATTGATGGTAGTAGAGATAGGGTGGTGTTATAGTTACTATTGCTACTAAGAAACTACCCCACAATTTAATAACTTAAAACAACAATCATTTTATTATATCTCGTGGATACTATGGGTCAGGAATATTCTGGCAGGATTCATCTGAGCGATTCTTCTTCTTTTATGTGATGAGGGTGACTCAGTGCTAGTCACTGGCAAATAAGCCAGTCTGGAAGGTCCAAGGGACTTTTTCCTATGTCTTGTAAATCAGTGAGAGTGGCTAGAAGGATGGGCTCAGCTGGGAGGCACGCTTCATCGGAGAGCCACACATGACTTTGCTCTCATAGTGGTATCAGAGTAGTTGAACTTCTTATATGGTAGCTGGGCTCCCATGGATTGAGCATTCTGAGGGGACCAGGGGGAAGCTCTGTGGGCTTTTAATTTAGCAGTAGAAGTCAAACAAAATTACTTGCCAGAGTCTGTTGTAGCAGTCACAAGCATGCTCAGGTTCAAGGGAAGGGGACGCAGACCCATCACTTGATGTCAGCCTATTTTGAGGCCTTGTTTAAAACTGCCAGACATGGCAATTACATATCAGGTGCAAGGCATTTGAGGAGAGACTTGAAAGAGATGAGGAGGACCATGCTCTGCTGAGAAAAGAGCATTCCAGAGAGAACATAGCTTGTACCAAAACCCTGAATCAGAAGCATGTGGCCTTATTCTGAGAATACCATCATTGAAACCAGAGTGGTTGGAGGATAATGAGGGAAAGAGAGAGTATCAGTAGATGATACCAGAAACATAAAGGAGAGGAGGCAGATTATGGAGAAACAGCCTTGTAGACCATTGTAGACTTTGGCTTTTCCTCTAACTCAGATGGCATCCCTAGAAAGGTTTTAAACAAAGAAGTAGCATGATCTGGGTTATGTTTAATAACATCCCTCTGTCCTTGTGCTAAGAATAGTTGAAGGGGATCAATGGCAGAAGCTGGGAGACCAGTCAGGAGGTTTTTGTAATAATCAGATGAGGGAATAGCCACGGACTAGACTATATGGTCATGTTGGAAGAGGTCACCTGTGGTCTAAATCTGGATTCCTTGCATAGAGCCTAAAAGAATTTTTTGTGCTATCTCTTGAGCTCACAGTGTTAGATAAGGGACGTAGAATGCTTTTCCTCCTCTTTGCCCCTAAAAATTCTCAATATCTAGTATTGTAACTTGGAATGTGTAATATAATTATATTAATTCAATATGTTATTTTCTCTTGCAATTATACTTCAAGAATATTACCGTGGCAATTATAAAATATGTAAAATTAGCTTTACAGTTAATTGAGTCAATTGTCTCAGGATTTTGGATTTACAACTTCCTAATTTTTGAAGCCTTTGTTTTTACTGTTTTCACCAGTATGTACCCATAGGTCCTTGACTAAATTATTATTGGAAAAACAAATCAGTTTTTATATACAGAATACTTCTCATTCAACCTTGAGAAAGACAACCTGGTGGGTGTAATATTCTTGGTCATATTCTTATTCTCTTAAAAGCTCCATGTCTTCTGGTATGTTAACGCGGCAAAAGAAAGGTCTAAAGCAAGCCTGACATAATTTATTTTTAAAAAGGACTGTGCTGTTGTTGCTACTCCCGTTGTTTTACTGTCTATACGTAAGTTGGATTTTTTTTAAGTTTCTGGAGTTTGACTAGTTTCTGTCTAAATATGGATAACACTTCACTGTTTTCCCACCACCGTCCCTACAATCTGGTTAGTCATTTTAAAATGTCTTCATAGTTCATGGTTATTGTTTTTGATCGAGTGGCTCTTGTTTCTTTCTGAGGTAAACAAATTATTTTTGAGTTGAAACCCCAGTCTCTGGCATTCCCACCTCCCATCTTTTCTGTCACTGTTTTCTATCTCTTTCCGCCCCACCCCCGGCCCCGGGCTCCGATTCAATTACCACTTGAACTGGTCAGGGTATCAGTTTGCTTGTCCCTGGATCCCTTTGTGGTTGGAAATTCTGCTACTGCATTTATCTTTCCTCTAAGGCTCCCGATCTCAGGCATCTCCCATTTTGTCATTATAACTTCCACATTGTTTCATAAGTGACTTGCCTTTCTACATGTTCTTCCTAGGGCTCGCTTCGGCAGCACATATACTAAAATTGGAACGATACAGAGAAGATTTAGCATGGCCCCTACATATTCTTCCTAGTCTAAGTACTTTAAAGCAATTTTCTAAATATTTCTTCTGGTTCCATAGTCACATCTTTTTTAAGAGATACTCTTTGCCCCTGAGTCTTCATGATAGGAACATGATGTTCCCTTTCCGTTTTTACAGCATGATTTTTATTTGTGTATATGTGTGTGTGTTTATTTTCACCACTCACTTTATTTAGAAGGTAGTGATGTTTGTCCAAAATCAGGGTATGATATCAAAAAGTAAAAGCCCCTTTTTCATTTATTTACCTTCCAGATGATGGCTGAGCTCCTTTTTGATCTAAACTGGAGAGCAGATTGATAGACACACTCTCTCTCAGTGGCCAGCAAGCCTTTATTGGAATAGCGTAACTAGGTTGCAGTGGATACCTATTTTATCTTACGTGGTTCAAGGTACCAGACATGTTATCATGCTCAGCGTGCACGTACAGTGGGGGACAGGTCTGTGGCAAGAATGAGCACTATTTATAGATTATACATGTTACTGCTTTCTGGGCAGGGATTCTAAAGGAGGGCTGTATTTTATTTGGACATTAAACTGAAATAGCCTATTGATACAGTGGACGTCACTTGTTTATTGGTAGTTCCCTGTTTTGCACTGTAATCTCTCTCCATTGTTCCCTAAACTTCATTCAAATCCCATTGTACTAATAAATAGCAACGTGTGACATGGGGAAGGGAAGGGAAAAGAAAAAGAGGCTGAGTTCATGCTTGGGGCAGGCGTGGTGGGAAGCAGCAGAGGGAGACAAGGAAGCTGGGAAACCTATGTGATTAAGCTCTGATCGCTCAGGTTATCAATTGCTTCCAGCACCCATGCTGCTCGGCTGCCTTCCGGGCCCCGACAAGGCTTTTCTTGGGGGAACCCCACTCCCGGGCCCGGCAGGCCTCTGATGCATCTTGTCCTTTTATTGTGCAGTCTCTTAAGGAGGCTATGCGTTGTAAGTCATGTGGGAGTGGCCAGTTTCCGTCCCCTCAAGAAGCAAGACTGGGGCAGGAGAGGAACGCTCTCTGGGATGCTGCAGGGGTGACTCAGGGAGTAGGCTATGGGGAGCCAAATACCATCTTACATGATTGTTATAAGGAGGAAATTCTGTCTCATGAAATAAAGCATGGATAGGATGATTTAACTTAATTGTTCTTAGAGTCTACATACTGAGTGTCAGTTTTAGCATTCCGCGTTGTTTATATTTTTTGTTCTGTTTTCCTAATTTCTTTCTTTTCTCTCCACTAATGGGAACTTGGATGGGGCTCCGCGACAGACTACCAGAAGCTGGACCAAATCAGCATTAAAATGAACTTACACATTCATGGCATTTGTTACCAAATTCAGGAATGTATAGACATGACTCAACATATTTATAGGGACCAATTCTGGAAAAGACAAACTGTGGACTGAAATTGATTTTTTAGTTTACCTTTGTATCTGTCATGCATTCACTCAGATAACAAATATGTAGTGAGTTCTCAGATTCCAGACACGTGGCCAAGCCCAGGAATTAGAGGCTGGTTAAAACAGACACGCTCCTTGACCTCAAGAATTTACCGTGGAGAAGGGAGTTACAGACTTGAAACACATCCCTGTGAATTGATTATTTAATTACAGTAATGATACATGCATCCCAGAAAACTAGGTGTTAGCAAGCACTAGGTGAAGTGAGAGCAAATAACGTAGGAGGGATACCCTGATTGGTGGTTGTATTAGTATCCTGTGACTGTTGTAAAAAATTACCACTGAGACACTTAAAACCACAAAAACGTCTTCTTGAATAGTTTTGGAGGTCAGAAGTCTGAAATTCCTATCCCTGGGCCAAAATCAAATTGTCAGGCCAAGCTCGCTCTAATGGCTCTAGGGAGACTCCATCCCTGGCCTCTTCCACCTGGCGTTTCTAGGTTTGTGGCAGCATCACTCTGACCCCTGACTTGTGATCCCGCTGTCATCTTCTTTTCCTTCTGTAGAAATGAAATCTCCCTCTGGCTGCCACTTATGGATGTACAGGTGACTGCATTTGGGGCTCACCCAGATAATCCAGGGTGATCTCAAAATCCTTAATTTAATCATTAATCAAAAATATTCTTACTGTTTACTGCCCTTGACTGAGGGAAAGGTCTAAAAGGATAGAACTTTTCGGGCAGGGAGGATGGAGTGGTAAACCGTGTGAGGTGTGGCAGAAGTCATGTAAGTGACCGAAAAAGGGTAAGAAGGAAGTATAGAGAATAAGGGAGAGATTGGCCACATTTGCCCAAAGCTGTGTAATCTCTCAGCCATTTGGTCCAGAAATACCTGTTCTATTTGGACTCTGGAGGCTATGAGAAATAGCCTACATTCTGTGTATGTGTATTTTTCATATACTGAGGCTGCCAAGTGTGTTTCTGTGGTATACACAACTGTTAGGAATCTAAAAGTCCCCGGGGCACATACACTTCTGTCTGCAGAACCAAGTCTAGCTCTTTTTCTGCACAACACAACTGAGTTTGCCAAGAAATAGCTGGAGAAGAAATTTTCTCCTCTATGCAGGTGGACACATTAAATTCTGTTATGCAAGTGGATCATTTTCTCGGGACCCTGTGATAGCAGGATTTTAGCTATGGTCTAGTTAAGATGAGGTATGGGCAAAAAGCTCAGTTATTTCCCCACCTTCCTCTCCTCCTTGCTTTTCATAACAAGTATGATTTGAAACCTATCAATTTGTATTTTGAGATGCAACAGACCACAAAATGGAATTGTTAGACAGAACCTCAAGTTGGAATTGGAGATGAGATTGAAACTGGATATTAAAACTGATGTGTCATGAGCAAGTTCTGATTGCTTTCTAAATACTAACTACCGCAGGATTATTTTTGTTAAGAATGGCTATTTACACATCTTTAAACTTCACATCTCTTCCGTGGGCCCAGAACTCCGGTTTTTTGCTCTTACGAATAAAAATAAATAAAGTAAACATTTTTATCCTTTTAGTTCCTATTATTATGCCTGGCTTTTCCTAATTCCTGTGTGATTTGTTTGATCATGCCTAAGGTAAGAGCAGACAGAGAGGTGTTCATAATAAGAGCTACAAAATGCAGTTTTTGACTCCCTTGCCAGGCTCCCACCGCCAATCCAAAAGTACATAGACCACATGTGAAGACTCTCCAATTCCTAGAGCATTGATGATGGGCCTGCTTTAAACTTTGGAAATTAAATCTACCAAGTCATTTCTTTTATAAAACGACAAAACACTTTTTTTTTTTTTTCAAAAGTGAGGGAAGAAGAAAAGAAAATGATCCCATTAAATGTAGGATGAAAGAATCTATTAAAAAAACTTAACTGTCGATCCGGTTAAAATGTGTCTCCCCATTACCCCTGCCCTTCTCCTCTCACTGGTATTCGTTCGTTAGTAAATCCCTTGTTCTGTTCCTATTTGCCAAGTATGTAGTGGAGGCAGTGAAGTTCTCCAGACCAGACCTCTGCTTTGTGATTTATCTCAAGTCACTCTGACCTTGAGATTCTTTGTCTATGGTGCTTCAATACATTATCCAGAGAATATGTTCTTTGTGAGTGGTGATATAAAATATCAATTAAAAACAAAAATAAAGGAGGGCTGTATTTTATTTGGACATTAAATTGAAATAGCCTGTTGATACAGTGGACGTCACTTGTAAGTTCTCCAAGGCTACCGTTTTCACCAAGTCAAATAACCAAGTCCCAGTAGAAATGCCTACTCAGAACTAAAATATAACATCACACAGGTAACTCTTAACAAAGATTCATATAAAAAAGAATCATGTGTACTTAACACCTTTGACGCCTTTGAAATTGCTATTGAAGATAGTTGTGGTTGTATTGCTTATTGTCTGGTCCTTAAAGACTCCAGTGCTGTGCTTGAGAGTTTAGAGATACCAGCTGCTGACATTTGCAGATACTACTTTCATTAGCTAATTGAAACCTATTTGAATTATAAGCTTCCTTTTGGCCTTCACCATCAAGAGGCTTAGGGCTGAGTTTTAGGCTGAAGTGCAGTGCCTCTTTCCTAGGTCTCCTTATATAATTGTCATCTGCCTCCCTTCATTATTCTGTCATTGTGCCCTTGCTTTATAGTGTCTGTGCCTTTTATTATTTTCAGCTGTCTCAAAGACTTTTCTGGAAATATACAGTACATAGGTGCAAAATGATGAAATAAACATACCTCTTCATTTGTTTTAAAACATGGTTCAGTTGGACTAGATGACCTCTAAGGTCCTTTCCAGCTTTAAATTTATGTTACTGTCACTAAAGACAGACAACAAATCTATTAGACTATAGGCCAAGAGATGAATGCCAAGTACTATGTTCCTGGTATAGGTATATTTCTTTTTGAAAGCAGAGTGCTAGATTCAGCAACTTGCTAAGGACTCTCACAGTCTTACAGTGATAAGACACGAGAGCTAAATAAAAAAACAAAACAAAACAAAAACAAAAACAAAAGATCTCAGTTAAAATATCTTTTCACTCTTAAGCATCAATGAAAAATAAAGAGAAAAGAGAAGAGCTTAAATATTTCTTTTGAGTCATTTACATAGATTCAAACAAGTTTAGCTTCATGAGTATAGCTAATTTAATGAAATTAGTTGCATTTGAATATTGTCACAGTCTTGTTACAACATTAGCATTAAGCGTGATTAAAATTTATTCTGTGTGCCTGTATGGGTCCCCAGAGCATCAGCTGTCAACACCTTCATAATAAACTAGCCCTTGGTAGCTTTCAGGGAACTTTGACATTCAGAGCAGGTGGTTGGGCCACTGCTTTAGAGGAGAACAAATCACATTTTAAGATAGATTTCCTGTTTGTATGAATTTAGAACACAGGAAATTATCAATAGCATTGTTTACTTTTGCTAGTATGATAAAAGTCATTTAAAATACAGGAAGTGCTAGATACTATGGACTGAAAATTTCCAAAGCTGATCAAAATATTTTCCTTAAGGGCGACTGAGTTATGAGAAAACCCAAGCTATAATTAAGAGATGTGTTTGTGAAATATAAATATTATTTTAGAGTAAAT